CCTGTGTCCAGACTAGACGCAATGGTTCGTGAATCAATTCGTTGTTGCCATCACAGATAACGGAATTGAACTAAATCTAAATAAAAAATAACGTTCAAAAATGTATAAAATTTTTAGATAGGTATTATTTGTACCATTAACAACAAAAAACCGTATATAATAGATTAAATAACCAGAGATAGGGTTGAGTTAATATCCAAAATGTTTGAAGGATCTTTAAACCTAGAGTATTGAAACAGGGAACATTGGAATGCATCTATGTACTGTAATTTTATACTTCAATTGCCTACCAAACACGAACTGTAGTTTGTGTCAATAAGTTTTGTAACAGCAAACTACCAAGATTACTTTATTATTTATTACAAGAATAATAAAAAATGTGAAAAAATATCATTATACTTTATCCTACGTATTAATAATTATAAAAAATTCGGGGCGAAAAAACGCTTTTTAAAACGTGACAGTTACAATCCTATATCTCACTGTAATGTTTTATTATAACAATTTAAAGTTATGTCTAGATTGATTATCTATCATTATTTTTAAATTGAAATATTTTCATAAATTGGTATAAAACACAAATCAATGTATGGGTACTTAATTGAGATGATGGAAAATTAAAAAATTAATATGAGAATTTTTTAGGATGCATGTTTAAACAAATTTAATGTGACTGACTTTAGTTTTTAGTATACTCAAAACTGGCGGTCTATCACACAACCATCGAGCAAAAAGACAAAAGAGGGAATGTAAAGGTAGTGGGGACAAAAATATCGTTAGACAGGAAATGCCGTCTTGAGAGGCCACATTAAACAAGGAAAGAGAATCTTTCCTTGTTTAATAAATCAAATTTAGTTGGGTTATGTTATTGTTTGTCCCAACTGTCACATGAAAGCTTATTTTTATATTGAAGTTTTTTAACAATTGTGTCACATTTTAGACTGTTATGGTTAATATTTATTTAAAGTTTCTCGTCTAAGACACATTCTGAAAACTATTTTATAGCTACTGTTAATAAGTGTCGGAAAATTTAAATTTGGCGCATTCGCATTTCCGGATATGTCCGCCATGAGAGGCCACTTTTTTGGTCTCCTTTTCATAACGATTAGATTCCCTCTTTTGTCTTTTTGCTCGATGCACACAACCCTGCTTTTAGCTGGTTTCATATATTTTCATTGAACTGGCAACGGTGCCCTAGAAATTAGAATGACACATGTGACAAGATCAACGTACACAAACACGATTTTTGATTATAAGAGTTGTACCAGTTTTTTATGACGCGAACAGTACATATAAACAAAAAATTTATTACAGTTTTAAGCGAAAATATTTTTTTTTATAATTGTTTATATAAAAGTATCAATTACTATAACTAGATTTGGAATAATGATAAATAAGGTTCCGAACATCAAACTATTGCCCTAAAAAATCAGGTAGTGGAAATATCTTGGAAACTAATACCCAAAGGGATCAGCAAAAATCTTCTTTATGTGCCCGATCTTCATTAGAGGTGGGCGACCAACAACTGGAATTATTCTCTGGAAAACTGGAAAACCGTATTTATCGTTTCTATAGATATGGCCAAAATAAAGGTCAAATGACAGTCTTCACTTAACTTTTGTCAATAAATAGTTCCTTATCTTTTAACCTTATAAACATTACTTGTTTGTTATTTTTCTTTAAATCATTATTTTATTACAATTTCCTTATTCATTTGTTAACTTTTTGTTTTCTTTTACTATATTTCTTCTAAAAATAGTTAGAGCTCAACTCTGTGTTTATTTCTCGTATCTAGTCTATTCTACGCCATGGACACATATAAAATGTCTATAATGTCTTGACTTCCGTCTGTCAATGTTACTTTAAAAATTTAAATATATTTATATTATTTAAATCTCCATTGGAGTAGGTTGATAATTTCTTTATATTTAATATTTCACCAATATCCAGATCCGAGGTTCCCGAAGCACATGTTTAACCATAGGGAATGAACATTGTAGTAGCATGGTAGCTGCACTGAAAACACGACAGCTGAACTGAAAGACACACATTCAGCCAGTATCTGAAGCAAACAACCACGCTAACTACGTTCAACGTGTGATTCAACTACACGAAGCCAAAAATATATAGAACAATAACGCCCAACGTATGTTTTCCACATTTTTGTAAAGCTGTAGGCAGGATTTGCTTCTCTTTTATTGATATTAAGATTTAATTTTTATCAATTATTATTTTTATATTATATGAATAATTTTTTTTTGTCCCATCCAATTTTCAAATTTGTATTTAAGATAAGAGATTACTATACCTAAGAGACTGAGCTACAAGAAGCCTCAAACAATTGGCTCCCAACGTTAGTTTGTTGTTACATATGAGCTTAATTTTACATTCTCTTCAACACTTAATCATTTGATACACTTTTGATCCATGGTATTTTCAATATCCGTCCGATTCAATTATATGTCAAAAGAATATAGACCTGATATGGTTATTGTCTTCAACGTCCACCCCTTCACTACAGTGAAGACAGTACGTAGAATTGAATGGCAGGCCATCGAAAAGTCAGACTCAGGTCTATATTGTAAAATAGTGTTTTAATTTTGAAGAACGTACCCCTGGCTATTTCGATTCTAATTTTGACTTTATCATCAGGATCCCATTCATCGTTTAGCCAGCCATGAATGGTTAGAAAAAATTAAAATAAAATAATCCAGGATAGTCCTTGTAGTACATACGGAATAAAGATGAATTTAAACACAAAATTACTTATAACAAAGCGAAGAAGTATTGTAACGATTAAAGAAGGATGAAGTAATACGAATATTAAAAAAGTGAAAATGAAAATAGTGAAACTCAGAAGAATGTATTACGCTTAAAGTAAATTACGAAGAAAAACAAAAAAAAATACGCGAAATATTTGAAAATTGTTTTTATCCATTTTATTAGATTCTATAGAACAACCTTCGTAGTTCTGCCATAGTTCTATCTACATTTATATATCAATGCACAATATTTTTTTAATCATAAATTTAGTATATTCGCTTCGAAGCACAGTAAAGATGTCAAATCTTGTTGATTCCTTTTTTGTAATATCTAGCTCCCTAAGTGGAGTGGTATTTATTATAATACATACATCACTGTATATCCTCGTGGTAAATTTTATCTTATTGTTGTTCCGCAAGATAATTTTACATAATGATAGCGACTTTATACAATGCAGTGCATATCCTGTAAAAATATAACCGACTATAAATAACGACTTAATGATGCAGTTTGAAATGAGTCAAATTTAAAACTATTTATTTATTCAACGGCTAAAAAAGGAGACATGACTAATGAAATTCAATACGCTAATTAAGACATTTTACACCAACAAGCATTTAAGTAGCAATATATTGCGAAATATACCTACCATTTAAAAAAAATAACACCAGAAAATACAAATGCAGCAATAAATCAAAGATAAATTGGAGATATTTTTAAGGATATATTGGATAAAGCATGGGACGCTATGTTGGTACAAACTATGTCTCTGAAATCACTTTCATTGATATTTTTGAATGCATAAATTCTCTTCCAAATAAAGACCTGATGGTGTTCCCTATTTTCGTTTAAAAAAGTTTGTATGCACTTTACTTAATAATTTATTACAGTTATTTTTATTTCCTGGTGTTTGGAAGGACAGTTTTTTTATAATAATATTCAAATGTGGTCAGAAAAAAAAACATTGAAAATTATCGAAGTATATAGCTAAACAGCTATCTTGGTTGTGCGCAGTGGACTCAGCACCAACAACGACATTCTTATTTCTAAAAATGATATGAGCCGTTCACCGTGCTTCGGAGGGCACGTTAAGCAGTCGGTCCCCTTGGGCTAGTGTGTGCATCGACACTAGCTACTAGAAACAGGGTTAAAGATGAAAATGGCGGGAGAACCTGTCAGAAAGGATCTCCCTGGCAAAAATACCATACGATATTATTGTAGTGGACTTTTCTAAGACTCAGCATGGTTTTTATGTAAAAAAAATCTACAGCTACTTATTTAGTTTGTTAACATTTGATGATGTTGATCATCAAATTCTTCTTGCAAAATTTCTTTCTGTGGGATTTCATGTTCAGTTTGTTCAATGGATCAAAAATTCGTTGTCAGGTCGTAGTCAAAGAGTTATGGTTGCTGGTAATAGTTTAGAGTCAATAATGGTCACCTCAGGTGTTCCGCAGGGAGGACACACATCACCTATTCTTTTCAACATATTTGTTAATGATGTCAACGCGACGCAACTACAGTCACATATAACTTGGAAATTGTGTGCTCTGTTTTCCGCGTCATCAACACGACAGTATTAGTGCTCGTCCTCGTAACGGGATATCCTCTTTGTTGGTAAGAAAATTGCCATCATTATCATTACAAAAGTTGATTCTCCGTTTGAATTCTTTTCTAATAATATTTATTTAGTGATAGAACTTTCTTGTTTCTCCTCGACTCATATGTCTTTCGAGCCTTTCTGATATGTCGTTGTCGTTTTGTGATTCTCGTTTCTTTTTTCGGTGTATGCGTTTCTCCTCTTTCCTTATACAACTTACTAGGACATACAATTAATAGAAATTTCAAGTTTTTCCAAAGTTTTTTCTTCCTTCATGTATTGAAATACATTGGCGATTACCTCACAAGTTTGAGCGTTTAAAATATTTTATGTAGTATACTTTTAAACTTTCTCACTGCCTTAATACATCACTCATATTTAACACTTGAGCACTAGTAATAGACTGCAATCAAAGGTTCTAAATGGTACGAATTTTTTGTGCCCCAGTGTGTAATACTTATGCGCCCATGGTTCATTCTGTGTACTGTACCTGCATTTAAAGTAACTGAGACATGTAAAGAGAAAACGTATAGCTCGTTCACCTTTGGGAGCAAAAACAATTAATAGTAAATAGAAATATAAAATAGTATATTAAAAAATATAATAAAAATACTGGTAGTATAAAATTTTTACTTACGACTAGACGGGGCATATCCGTAAACTCTTTGGTACATGCGATCGGTGACCAAAAACTCTGGATTGTAGTAGTGTTTATGATACCTCAACTTGTAATTGAAATGTTTGGGGTTTTTGTCATCAAATATAATCGCAACTGTTGTATAGTTTGGATTTTTATAGTAGTATCCCAGTAATTCATTTTCTGATCCAAATCTTTGAATGTCTAGAAAATAAATAAACATATAAGCATAAATAAAAAATATTTAAACTAAGATTTGTACTATTATTATTCATTTGTATTTTACTTGTTTCCACGCACTCGTTTTAATACAAGTGATACTTCTTAAGGTTGATCTGCACCCCTGCAAACGACAAACTACACATTCAAAAAATTTGAAAAAATTTGAGAAGGTATATGTGATAACTAAAAGTATTTTGACAATTTTTAAGCAAACTTCATGTTTTGGTTTTCGAAAAAAACTCAAAAAAACTACTTTTTTCCAAGTATAAAGCGAAAACCAAACATACAATTTTGTTAATTTTCTTACAGTATAAAGATATAATCCTGAGAAATACTCATGAATTTTTTGAAAATTTTTAAATGTACAGTTTTGTCGCAATAGGAATAAATTATGTTTCGTCTTATAATAAACCTACCGGTAAGAAACCGGAAAAAACTTTAATAACAACATATATAAAACTGTAAAAATGGAAAATATTTGCAATAAAACATTAAATATTTTGTCCTAAACATATGAAAAATCTCGTTAAACTGGAATTATATATTGAACTGCCTCCATCAAATTATATTTTACCAATCCATCTGAAACATCGGTAAAATAATATTTATCATCGATAGATAGCATTACTTTCGGCTTCGAAACACTTTAAACGAAATGTCATACTAACAGTGTTGCCATATCAATTACTTTGTACCACACTTTGGCAGATTACAATAAAATTGAATAAGAATGTTATCGGTTTGAATTTTGAAGTGGTCATGCTTAAACTTACGGAATAGTAGATATTGTAACTTTTATTTTGAAAGTGCATCATAAAATTTACACTCTACAAGTAATATATCTTTAAAATGCCTATTTAGACGTTTTTAGTTAATTATTTTAGTATTTATAAACAATAGTGTTCCTTGGATAACGTATTAGTGGTAATTTAGTGCTTTATACTTTAATACTAGAATGTCTCCAGACTTGTTTTTGAAACTCTACAAAAGTTATATCAGACGAAGTTATTACTAGTACAACGAAGAGCTTCTAAGCTACCTTTTAATTATGGAAGATTAAACTATGAAACCCGACTAAGAAAACTCAAGTTGTCTCCATTAACTGATAGACGAAAAAGAGGAGATGTCATATCTACTTATAGAATTTTTAGGGAGTTCAAAAGAACATCAAACTTTTTTAATATTAACGAAGATGCTAGACTAAGAGGTCATAACTATCAATTGAAAAAGGAGTCTTTTAAAACACTGAATCATTTCTCAATGATATGAGTAGATGGAACCTTATTTTTCTAATAAAAAATGTTCCTGTAAAAGAGGTAACTTTGTTTATTTGGTATATTATATTCAAATTAACACAGCAGAGCAGTAAAATATTATACATAAAGATGTTGTTAAAGATATCTTCGCTTACTTGATCCACTAGTAATAAAGTTATCAGCATTAAATGGTTAAGTCTATTTGATAAAATCACTGTTTCCACAACTTGGCAACTCAGCCAATGGATATAATTATAGAAAACTGTAATTCATGTTAGTAATTTATGTTAATCTACAATTAATTTGAAAATTTTTCCACAACATCTTGTCGCAGTAAAACCATCTCTAGCATCAGAAACAAATTAATTGAGGGTGAGGATCAACCTTAATTATTATATCAAAAAGTTATTGCTTCACTTAGATTGATGTGAAGAGGGTTAGAAGAAAGTATTTTTGTCTCAAATTAAGAATTACTTGTTTTTACTTTTTTACTCCAAAAATATTTCAATAAATATTTTTTTGGTATATAATACGAGTTCTGTAAGATATTTTTTAGAGGTAGGCATATTGCTTACTATAATGTACTATCCTCTTTCTATAAACTTATGTGCTCTAGTCACACTAAGACATATTTCGTCCAATATTTGGAGTTTACTATATTATAATGGTGGATCCAAGACAAGGCTTTAAGGAAGAAAAGAGCTATAAGCTAATTTCTATGTGGTTTTTGACGATAAAGGTAGAAATACCGCAAAAATGAAATTATATACATGGTGATTACTAATAAAAAAAATCGGTTTCGGTGTCGGTTGACTGGCAGGTACACTTCGTTGTGTGACCTTCATGGTTCAAAACGGTGCTCAGTCAAAAATTTTCATTGAATACACCTATCAGGTGGAAAAGACGTGATATCTATCATAAAAATAAAACCTGACCAACTGACAACTATTGTCAGTGGACAGAACTAGATGATAAAGAGATCTTTGAAAGATAAACGCTCATTTAAGAGATGTAAGTGGACCAGTGACTAGTGATAATGAACGTCGACCTAACCGCAGCTGCACAGATCAGATCCTATCCTTAACAACACATATTGAAGCTGGTTTTCAAAGAAAACAAAAAACATCCGTTGCTTTCATTGACCTATCAGCTGCATACAATTCTGTCTGGAGACAAGGACTAATCCGTGCCGTCCCGTGTCAAAAGGTAACTAAACTCATTGATAACATGCTCACCGACAGACTTTTTCAAGTCACAATAGACAATTCTAAAAGTTCCCAAATGAAGCTCAGCAATGGACTGCCACAGGGATCTGTTTTGGCACCCTTACTGTTCAATTTATATATCGCGGACCTACCTAGGACAACTTCGCAGAAATTTGGCTACGCTGACGATTGGGCCATTGCAGCAAGACATAATAACATGGATATCACAGAAACAATATTAGCGGATGACCTTGCCATTATGGGAGAATACTTTCGCAAATGGAGGCTACGGCCTAATGCAACGAAAACCGAAGTGTGCTGTTTCCATCTGAATAATGCCCAAGCCAACAAAAAATCTCCATCCACTTCGAAAACAGACTGCTCACTCATAACTCAACACCAAAATATCTTGGGAGTGACTCTGGACAGAACATTGAGTTTTAAAGAACATCTTCAAAGAACGACAGTAAAGCTGAAAACGAGAAATAATATAGTCCAAAAGCTATGTGGCACTACATGGGGGTCTTCAGCCTCCGTACTCAGATCATCCGCTCTCGGACTTGTATACTCGGTGGCTGAATATGCTTCCCCGGTATGGCTCAATAGCAAACATACAAAGATTGTTGACACTCAATTAAACCAGACAATGCGAATGATCTCAGGTACAATTAGACCCACACCGAACTATTGGCTTCCCATTCTGAGTCACATTCCACCGCCGAAACTGCGAAGAAGTCATTTTCTTCTCAGAGAATATCGAAAAATTGAGGCTAGCCATCAACTACCTATACACCAAGATAAGCTTGATATCGAAATAAACAGACTGCGCTCCAGATATCCTCCATTGCTAAGAGCCAACTCCTTACATCAGGAACATTTCAACCTGACCAAAGCTTGGAGAACACAATGGGAGAGCGACTCACCACAGGAAGCACATCAAATGGCCTGTATCGATCAGAAACCGCCAGGCTTTGAACTGACCCGCAATACATGGACAACGCTAAACAGAATAAGAACAAGCAGCGGTAGATGTGCTGACAGCTTATATAGGGGAAAAGCCCTTACTCCTGAGTGTGACTGTGGTGCGCAACGACAGACCGTCCGTCACATTGTTGAAGAATGTCCCCGAAGGCGATTCCGTGGAGTTTTCGATGGGTTCCTGAATGCGACCGAAAATGTTTTACATTATATTAATAATACATTAGATGTTCGTTTGTAATACTTCATGTAACGTTTTTATATTGATTTTAATATTGATTTAAAATAAATGAACGTCAAGGGCTAAAAGCTTGTGCATTTCCACTTTCCACTTGATTCTCCAATGAATTTTCAATAGTAGTTCGTTTTTAATATTCTTCCTTTGTTAGTTCTCTCAGTTTTGTTCTCAGAAAAATCAGAATTGCTAAATTGATCTTGATATAACAATATATTTTCATTTGTCCGTAGAATTATTTCGTTTTCTATACACTCTGTCAAAAGAAGGCTCCATATTTTTAAGAGATCAGGGACATCACCGCTTTTTGAAGGCTCTTTCAATCCCAGAAGAACTTTTACTGGATTGTAAGACCACTTGTATCGATTTTTACCAAAACAAAACTTTCCATTTATTGTTTCTGGCCCCTTTTCTTCACCTATATCCTGACTTTCTTGTGTTTCGGCATGATCCCCCTTGTCTTACATCTCAGAATCAGAGTTATGGAAACTCTCTGGAGAAAAATCGTTGTAGTTCTCAAAATCACTAAACTCGCTTTCTAATTCATCACACCACCGCCTTACACTTTCATCAAAATTAGGCTCTCCGAAATACACTCGTTTGGAAGAACCTGCCATTTGAGAAATAAAACACTATGAGCTTTACCGCCCCCAAATGAGCTTTACCGCTGGCTATTCAAAGGAATTTTGAATCACAGTTGACGTGTGTATCGGAGTGCACCAATTTAAGGTTTAAAGGTAGATTGCGCGGCCAGGCATAAATGCTAAATTTGCAAGTTTTACATGGATTTAAAAGTACTAGGGGTCCGCCTGACCCCACAACGCGAGTTGAGGGTTAACTCTGACGAATCAGGCAATATCATCTATGATCTTAAAATCCGTAAAATCCAGCCCAAAAAGATTTTAACGAAAAGAAGAGTTGGTACTTTATTATTTAAGTAATTTCTGTAGAAAATCAATTGTCGCCTTTTCGAAGCATTTTCAAGCATCAATACGAATCCTTTATACAAACGCTAAAACAGATTGTTTAACGAATTGCAATACAGTTCGTAATAATCATCACAATAGTCCAGGTCTTGCATCAAATAATTTGCTTTCTCAAGATTAAACAATCATTACTAGCGGACCAACTCGACATCGAGTTTTTTAAATGAATATTTTATTTTACGAGAAAAATTAAGAGATCAATACAAACAATATAAGCAAGAATATACATAACATTCATCAATAATTATGCAAGTAAAAAGTGTATTAAATATCACCAAATATTTCGTTGAACCAATGAACATTCGTAAGAAGGTCCTGAAAT